ATAGTCATAAAGTTCATACTCCCTAATTATTTATATATACGTATATATATACCTTAATTTTATGAATCATGGTGTACCCATCATCCATTCAAATGGATGTACTACTTCTTTGGCGCCTCTTTGCCAAAATACCCTCTTCTTTTCAAAAACGGTATGTCTATTCAAATGCTGTTACTATCAATTTTTACGCGTTTTTGCTGTGCAGCGCTATAGAACTGCTACAGCCAGCAAAAACACATACTGTCAAGAGGTTTTCTGTGTGTGTACGTATTTGCGAGTATGTGTGTATGTTCGGAAGCGGGTGCACTTTGTCACCCAATTTCATCTCAGCAACCAGGAAAGCTGGGAGGCTACAATTTTGGGTACATGTTCCTACCCCGTGTGTTACCTTCCCGTTTTACGATCCTCCCCCACACGTGTCCAGATTCCGCGTACGAACTTCCGAAAAAAATATGCAAATTTCTTTGGCGGAAAATGATTTCGCGAACCAGTACAAAGCTGAAACTTTGCAGAAATATCCTCTATGCATGTGCGAGCAAAAGATTTCAAATTCAGCTGTCGCGCACGCCTATGCAGCGCATACAATCACGTCAAAACTCGAAAACTTTATCAGTGGCCGAAATTTGTCAGTGGCGGAAAACAGTGACTGAAATTTTGTTAGCGTGTTTGTAGCCTACATGGAAAATCGTATACATAAAATGGGTACCGATTTGAATTTTTGTCACGACTTAGGACACTTCAAAGATATTTGTAGCGAAGTGAATATTTTGCTTGCCGGATAAGCTACACGGCTGAAAATTCGCTAGGATATTCTATTTTCAAGTGCGGTCTTAATTCTGCTTGGAGGTGAAATTCTCTGCAGGTGGACTTGAGAAATACACAACCTTACCGAAGAATCAGAAACGAGTTCGTTTTGGAGCGAACGACCGCCCTCACAAAAATATGTAAATGAACATTAGTTAATCTGCATAACAACACTTCCACTTTTTAGTGAACTGGAAATTTGCATTTTTTCAAAAAATTTCATTTTTCATTTTTTCAGAAAGCGAGCATTTACCGAAAAAACGACCGGGCTTCGTGTAAAAAACTGGTAATCACGTACCTGGAGGTCTGTGCGGCTCTATAATGCACCACTTTCGTCCCAACCGACGCTCATCCCCCTGCATGCCGGAAGGGGGGCGAAGCACGACCAATATGAGCTCAAGTTTTAGGCTACAGCGCAGGGATCATTCCTGCTGTCAGCGGCCTGCGAGTTTAGTGCAAAAACGCATGACCACACCGGCAAACCTGGTGCGTTTCAGCCTGGGTTATCTCTTATCATTGCGAACACAGCACTTTTTAAGTAATTTTGAATTAAATTGTCCAGACTGTATGCAAAATAGCTCACGCTAACGATTTTGATGCCTTTTGAGCTAAATATTGCAAACACCTTACTTTTCCCCGCATTCCTTTCAAATGAACGAATTTAGTTCATTTCCTGAAACCCAGGCTGGAACGCACCAGGCGGGCCGGTGCGATTATGCGTTTTTGCACTTTTCGTGCC